GGGCCCTGCCAACCCTGATGATTCTGTGAAATGTCTTTTAGTGATAGCCAGGAGAGTCACCTGGCCTGAAACCGAGCAGCGGGTAGGATACTGAAACCCCAAGGGGCCTGAGAAAATAAGTCATACACGCTTGTCTCACTTTTTCCTGAGGAGCAGAAGCTTTTGGTGAAAGCAGTAGCACACAGAGATCTTGGGGAGGGGGCCGAGATGGTTAAGATGCCGTCTGCCTTCGCATGACCCTCGTGCCTGTCTGTATTCGTTCTGCAGAGCAAACGCAGTCGCAGAGGAATGTGGCGATGCAATGCTCAAACCACGATGGGACACATACGCTCGTTTTCTCCCCTGGTGGGAAGCTTTCTGAACACTGGACTACAACTTCAGCTGACTGCTCTAAGACGGGGTAAGCAGCTTTCGCGGGGTGGAGGTATGGATGGTAACGGTCAGAAAACGTGGCCAGCTTTTCCTAAAGGTAACATCTGAGAGACTGAGGCGTGTTCCTGTTGTAGAGAGGGAACTGGAACACATACGTCCCTAGTACCCGAAACTTTTATCTTCTTTTTTAACCCAGCAAGAAGTGCCCTGATTTTGAGGATAATACCAAGATCTGAGCTGCTTGGCAGGTACAAGAGACAGGTTTCTCTCAAACTTAGTAAGGATCGGCAGCCCATACCAGAGTAATGCAGATGACTTGCAAACCACGCGTGGCTTGGGAAACCTGCGGGTGAAAGACTCAAGCACACCTGAACCTTGCCACCTTCTGATCAAGCTGTGAGGGTAATCACCATCGAAAAAGGGCACAGCCGTTTGCTGTGGGATTTTCTGTTAGCTTGCCCAGGGCGGCACCTGATTCTCTTCCAGCTTCCCATGGTGCAAACCACAATCAAATCAGTTAGCCCAGCTGCAGTGGGCTAGCATAAGAGCAGGGTGAATCAACTTACAGGTGACCTATGTTTTTCCACGTAATTCCCACTGAACGGGCTAGGACTTGGTGAGCAGAAGATCTTCTTCCTTTACTTTGTCTCATGGCACAGCATCTATCTATGTTGATTGGTTGTTTTTTGGTTTTTTTCCTTATTTTTGTAGGCTGGTGCGAGAACTAGGAAACCCCAATATTGTTCAAATAGCATGCGGGGACCAGCACGCCATGGCACTCTCCAGAGGTAGCCTCTTTCAAGGACGCTTTTCCTCCAAACGGGAGTCACGTTATGGCAGGTTTGCTCTCCGCAGGGAGAGTTTGAACTATTTCAAGTAGCTGGTGACACCATGAGAGAGTAAAGAGCGGTGGGAGGGGGGCTCCAAGGGTGCTGGCTGTCAGTGCTGCCCTTTCCTCCCAGCACCCAGGGACCCACAGCTCTGTCTCTCTCTGGTTCCCGAGCACTACCCCTCCGCAGAGGCGTGCTGTGGGGAGCAGATGTGGCCACCCCACTCCACGGTCACCAGATGTGGTCGTTCTTAAGTTGGAGTACCTCTCTGGTGGTTGGGAATTTCTTGCGAGTATGGCTTTAGAGGTGGAAACACCCTGCTGTGCGGAGTCCGACGGGCAGCCCCAAAGGGATCAGAAGCAAACAGGGAGATTGGGCTACAGATGCTAGGTCCCTGAGAACAGCACTGACTTTTGCTCCGGCTCCCAAAGTGCAGAGAGGTGAGGGAAGCAGTGAGGCTGAGCTGTTTTCTTTGGTTCTGTGCGTGCAGGAGGAACGCTCTTCACCTGGGGCCAGAACGCCCACGGACAGCTTGGAGTGGGGAGCCAAACCACGCTCGTGCCCCAACCGCAGCCGGTGGAAAGACTGAAGGGCATCCCGCTGGCTCAGATTGCTGCTGGAGGAGCTCACAGCGTCGCCGTGTCGCTCTCTGGGGCTGTGTACTCCTGGGGAAAGAACAATTTTGGACAGCTGGGACTCGGAGACACAAAAGGTAAGGAAGGACAGCAGTAGGAAGGTGTTTTCGCGGTCAGTGAGCTTACTGCAGACACAGGAGTGGCTTCTCGGGACTGTCAAGCCCCTTTGGAGCAGCAGTGGACAGTAAAATCTTCTGAAGAAAGTATATCTAGGGAAGTTCTTTGTTTCCTGACCAGGAAAGGCATGGAGGGACAAGGGATTTAGGGGCTGTATTTCTACAGAGGACTTCCAATCATTTTATGTGTCCAACTGGATAGCATGGGCTCTTAAAACCGTATGTCTCAGAGGTCTCTTTCCGCTCCCATTGTCCCTCCAGGCAATCTTTCATGAAATAAATTAATTTTATACCTCTTTGCCTTCTTTAATTCTCTGTAAACACAAGGTGAGGGAAGAATTAAAATGATCTGTTGTCTTCAGACCTCAAAGGTTAGAGCAGAGTTGCCCTAGCCAGACAGAACCTGAAGTCAGCGGGGTCTGAATGAGTCCACGCCCTTGAGACTCAGGTGTTTTGAAGCTAAGTACCTTTTGGCAAGCAGATATGAAAGTGCTGCATTTTGTTTCAGATCAAATGTAAATGAAAAGAAAATACTATGAGAAAGACAGAACATTGTGAGAAAGAAGATGTTGTAGTGGAGGGTAGAATGCAACTCAAAACCAAGTTGTAAATACATGAATTGCCGTAAGAGAGGACTAAAAGCGCTAAAATCCCCTGTTTTCTAAATATTTCTTTGTGTGAGACCCCCCAGTACTCTTTAGCGGTGCTGTCTTCTTTCCAGAGAGGCACTGCCCATCATATGTTGGAGCGTTAGAGCACTGGAAGACCGTATTCATCTCGTGTGGGGCAGATCACACTGCAGCTCTCTCCAAGGTGAGTCTGAAATGGAAAGTCAGCATCTGAGACCTCACCCTGCCAGAAAAGACACACTGCTAAATGTCAGCACGGAGGAACTGGGATGGCAATGTCTGCTTCTGCCCGGGTCTGAAGACGATCCCCAAGGGATGCTAACTAAGCTATTGGGAAAACTGGCCTTTTCTCAGGTTCCCCTCATGCAAATTTTAGCAGGGAGGTGGTGAATGGGAATCCTGGGACAAAGAGGTTCAACTCTCAGTACTTTTTGAAAATATTTTCTTTTTTATAGCGTGTTGGGGACTTCAGAAAATGTGAACAATAGCTAATTCACTAGGGTTTACTCATACAAGCAAAATTCTTAAGCAACAGAATTATCCTCGGGAGTTATATTGCTTCTCTCCGGAGAGAAATGATCTGGACGTTACAGTGTAAGGTTAGGCTTGACGCGAAGTGAACTGTACCTGTGTTTGAATCAAGTCCCCTATAACATACTGTGTCTTGCGGGCTCTCAGTCTCGGTGGTGACCGTTTGAATGCCGTTAATAACGCAGTGATCCTGTTGTTTCTTTCTTCATCTTCAAGGAGGGACTGGTGTGCACCTTTGGAGCAGGAGGGGCTGGCCAGCTTGGTCACAACTCCACCCGGGACGAACTCGTGCCTCGTGTGGTGGCCGAGCTGTGGGGAGCAAGAGTTTCGCAGGTTGCTTGCGGCAGGTGGGGAAATGCCAAGGACGCGTCTTCTAAGGTCCAGGTCTTAGGGCAATCACTGAAGAAGAGTAGGGAGGGGAGTCACCGAGGTGTTCAAACCCCAGTGTCCCAGTAGGTCAGCACTCTCCGAATATCGTCCACCCTTCAAGGGTAAGCCACCTTCCTGCCCCAGCCCCAGCCAAAGCAGAACCCTCAGCCCGAGCCGAGCAGAGGGAGACGGCTGCCAAAAACCACCAGAAGCCCTCGTTTTTTTGCGCTTTTAAGAAACAAAGGGTGTACTGGGTTCCAAAAGATTGTCGAAAGCGTGCGTCGAGAAAGTCACCGAATTCCCATCCGCTCTGACAAACTGGTGGGTCCTTAGAAAGAACCAAAGAGCAGTGACAGTCATCCAATTTCATTCTGCCTTTCTGGAACTGGGCCAGAAAAAGTCTCCTGTCGACTTTCCTGGGCTTTGTATCGGGCTCAGCAGCACAGAAGTTGCGCTTTGAAAAATGGAAGGGTGTGAAGCTAGCAAGGCATAACGCTTTGGTTTCGTACGTGGAACCAGCGTAAATCACAAACAGCAGAGGATAGTACAGGAAATTTGTTTCTTCCATGTGTTTCTTTATTGCTGAATGTTTCTGCAAGGAAGGGTCCTAAGCCTTTGGTTAAAGGGATTCTGTAGCTGGACTGTCAGGACTTTTAAAGACAAACCTCAGCTATCCACTCTGAAAACGTGTCTGTAAATTTTATGCTGACTAGCCCAGTGGTATTAGCTTGTTATGACCATTCTTCTTTTCCTGAACAGACAGCACACCCTGGTCTATGTCCCCTCCTTGGACAAAGTCTACTCGTTTGGTTGTGTTGAAGAAGGACAGCTGGGAGATGAGAGGAAGCCCGATCAGTTGATACCACTCCCCATCAAGTCACCAGCGAACGCTGGCAAATCCTGTCGGGGTAACGACCGTTGCAGATGTGTACAATCTGTATTCCTTTCTTCCAGCGGGATGTTTGCTTTCTTGATTTCATGTTTACACCGAGAGGCTAACATTATGTCTCATGCTTGCTTGGTCATCCCAGCAGATTCTCCAATGGATAATTCCATTTGCTGCTTGATTTATCATCATGGGTAATGGCCACATGGAATCAACTTTTAGACTGACGGCTACCATCTGAGGGGTTTTTGACCGTTCCACATCTGTGCGCTGAACTCTCTGAAGATAATGACTGTCTCTTCAAATGTTCCTTTGAAAGTCTTTTTATTCTTTCACAGGAAACAACACCTCACAAAAGGTGACTGAAAATACCGCCGGAGGAAACCGAAGTGTTGTTCTTTGCAAGAACAACAAGGTATCTGCATATTTGATCATGGCTTCTAATTTTACTGTTGTTCACATTACAGCTGGAAACATTCAGGTTTTCCATCCTGCTTTTAGCACCCTAAGTTTGTTTGTGTCTCTTGCAGTTCTTTCCATGCTCACCCAGAAACTAACTTGTATTGCAATTAGATATCTGTTCTGTGGTTAAGGCATCTGGACCGCGCTGGATGACCGTTAATTTGTTCATACTTAGGCCGAAATCTCCTTGTAATGATTGGCTTGAAAAAAAGAATCCCATCTGCTAGACCTCTAATCTTGTCAATACTGTCATGCATTTCACACAGAATTCCTGTTTGAATGGAATTGCCACTCTGGAGGATAAAGAAGTGGATGCATGGATTTCTGATTCCAGCTCTCAACATTGGGAGAGTATAAAAAAGTAAGTCAGAAACCTGCTGGTTTGGTTTGGTTTTGGTTTTTTCCCCTGATACGTGATGTCCTCTAAAAATTATTATTCTTTGGAAGCTAATGTAGGAACTGATGTTCAAGAATTTAGCCGAGACAGAATCTCCTACCAGCACTTCTTACCTAGTTTTCGCACAGGAAAAAGAGATGTTGGTCAGCGACAGCCCTTCGATAGCCCTTTTGCAGGAACCGAGCAGCCGTAGTGCCTGGCTTCGGAAGCCGTTCCTCCTCTTCTTGCGCAGAACGGTTGTTGAGTTGATGAAGAGCCAACAAGTTAAATCAGTGAAAGATTTGATCTGCAGACCAAGGCCTTGTGCAAAAATTGTAATCCAGAGTACCCAAACTGGAATGTTTTGTGCTGGTCAGCATTTAAAAATTAGCGATCCCTTCTTTAGTTACCCATTTTCAAAAGCAGTAAGTGTCTACTACTGTGGGAAGCCTTACGCTTCAGGCTGCGAATTCTGGTTACGTAGTCTTTTTTCAGATCTTACACGGGAAGTTATCTTCTTTGGGCAAGTCTGACTCCAGCTGCCAATTTTGAGCATTTAAAAATCTTGGCTAATTTGGATCTAAACGTTTCCCTGACCGCTTTTAGTACGGTTTGGATCATACGGAACGTGGTTGTTGAGAGGGTGAGAGAGAGAGAGAGGGTTCTTTCCAGTTCTCAATAGGAAGGGCCTGACAGCAAATCGCTTGATAAAATAGCTGCTTTGATACGAACAGACCAGGAATACAAGTCGTGAGTAAGTCTAACGTCCCTTCAGACGCTGGGAACCCATAGCTCCATCGCAACACCCACCAGCATGGGATGGGGTGATGGAGCAGGTTCCCTTACGAGGGCCAGGAGAGCAGAGGTGGCTTGCCCAGGATCACTAACTCCTCGAATACAACGTCTTCTGCAACGCTGTCGATAAAGTGGTGCTCAGAAAAGTTTTGTGTGGTCAGGTGCAGGCACGCTCGTACGCTCGCTTTTTTGTTCTTTCAGAATTAAAACCCTGAAGTTGAAAGGATTGACTTTGGTTTGGTTTTTGTTGTCAGGAATATCGGACTGATCTTTTCATCCGAGGCTTGCATCAACGGAAGCTTCCTGGAGAAAAGGTGGCGTGCACTGACTTAGACGTAACAGAATACATTGGCTGTGTGTAAACAGACCAGAAAGTGTTCTTTTAGGCTACGTATGTAGGGGATTAGTCGTATCTGAATTTGCAAGCAGCAAGTCTGTATTTTTTCAAAGCCCAAGCTAAAATTAAGATTTTAACCCCCCAGTCCTATTGAAATCTGCCATAGAAGCTCACGTCCTAGCAGAGGATCCTGTAGTGCCATTTGACAGATGATGATAATCCCTTTCGGCAATACTACAGCTCCCAAAGGCTCCCTAATAGCTCCTCCTGGCACTGAAGCGCACGTCATTTCAGGGTGAAACACAGAAAGCCTACCACCACTAACAGTGCCCAGCCACACAGGACAGGAAGGACAGGACATTAATCGGGTCACAGCACAGTGAGAATATCTGCTTCGAACAGATGAAATTGTACCCGCTGGAGCTAGGGCTGAACTTCCCAAGTGTTTTCTGATGTTAGGATGCTTCACCATTCAGTCAGTAACAAAAGAAAACAGCTTCTCGCATAATTTTCTTTTTTTTCCTTTTCATATCATGTTTTTTTTTTTTTCCTTTGTGATAGAGACAAACATTTTAAAACTTCCAAAGAAGTCTCGGGTGTAGACATGTCAGAAGTGCAACGTTTTTATGAGAAGATCAGCAAGAAGGCAAAAGTCTTCCAGGAGGTAAGGATTTGATGTAAGGATTCTTACTGCGCAGATACTGAGGAGCTCTGGATTTGTGCATGAAACTGGGGAATTTCATGCCAACCTAATTCATAGATGATTCTGGCAAAATACAATTGCATTTTTAACCCTCGTCTCTTTTTTTCTTTTTTTTTTTCTCCCCTATGGAGGTGCAAAAGGAGATTGAGAAGTTACTGCCGTCGTTGTCTTCCTCTCCCATCTCACCTGAAAATTTCAGAGTCTACTTGATCTTGCCTTTCCTTCTGCAGCGAGGGGATGACAGCTCTTACCATTGTCTTCAGCTTCTAGCAGAAGCCATCGTGAAGCTCCGGACAAAGGACATTCAAACTCTTGGTAGGCTTTTATGATGATAGAACTGAATGATTTAAATGCTTGGTCATTTTTGGCTGTGGAGAAGAGTTAGTATCGCTGATGTAATTTGTTCCAGAGTTCAGCCTGAAAGAAATGCTTTCGGTAGAAGTAGAAACATGGGGACTACGCAGCAAGACACAAGAAAAAAAAAAAATTCTCAGTCTGAGGTTTACTAATTTTTGTAGTGCAAAATTAAGCATTTTTTTGGGGTCAGTTCATTTGATCAAAAGAGAAAATGCAGCTTCATCCAGAAATTGCAGTTATTTGCATATTACCTGTGACGGATACTTTCACTACCTGTTTTCTTTACAGTATGCCTGTGGTCAAATCTAGAAACGTCCTTTTTCAAGGAGCTAGTCGTTCTGTATCAGAGGGTTTCCCAGAAAAACCTGTCTCAATTTGTCGTGGAAGTCAGCAGCGGCCAAAGAGACCCCTTCAACCTGCACCCACATGAAACAGCGACTCTGCAAACCCTGCAGATTCTTTCCCAGGTGAGAAGGTGCTGGATCCTGATTAGATAGGACGTAGGAGTACAAGTTGGCGTAGTTTAATCCTTTTTCCATGCTGAATTCTCTGGGATTCCTTCTCACAAGGGAACGTGGGGCCTTGTAATTTGACATTGCTTCAGGAACCTCTTTGGCTCTGCACTAGCGTGGCTTTGAAGGAGCCCTGCTCTTCGGTTGTGCCTGGCTGACCCTCTGTATGCTAGAGCCCCTGGCAGGGGGAGGGATGCTGTCAGTGCATTCAGGGACGAAAGAGTTGGAGCATCTTTAGCTGCACACAAACAAGGGGAAGAAAGGGGGCAATAGCTGTATTCTTCTTGACAACCATCCTTTCTCCTGCTGAGATGTTCAAAGTTTAGGAAAGTCAAGAGCTCGAGCATGCACTTAATATGAATCAGAGAGAGTCGTCAAATTTTGTTCAGAATTGAATATCCTTTTGGCTGAGAATGCAGATTTGAGTCTCGAAGTTTAGACTTTTGAATCTGTATTTATCCAGACAAATAAACTCAAAAGTGCAGCGGGCCTACTCCTCCGTAAGTGGTTGCATCATTTGGAGCTTTTCATGTTCGCTGTCCCCCCGAAGGTCCTGTCTTTGCCAGGCAACGAGTATGAACCTGAAGAGGGAACTTCAGATTGTCCTGCAGTGTGAAAGACGCTCCAAGTGAAACGTACCTTTCCTGATGGAGTCCTGTTAAGGGATCTTCGTTGTAAATGAGAATTGCTTTCCTGCTAGTTCATACCTGGCTTTCTGAGACTTCGCACCGCCACGCGCTGTGCCGCTCGTAGCACTTCTATTCTTCCACTTCTGTGCAGGGTCTCAGAGCTCTTTCTGCAGAAAGCCCTGTTACTCCTTAGCCCCCTCCTGCCACGCAGACGCGTAGCTCGCTAGATCTGCTGATGCCCCTTTTCACATTGCGTGTATCAATGCAGGTGAATTCCAGAACTGGCTTCAGAGTGCAAGAAAACAACTTCTATGTGCCTCAAGTGAAACCGATTATCAACTGGTGTTGGTTATGTAGTACAGCACAAGTAAGTATAAAATCTTACCGGCAGTACAAAACACTTTTTTTTTTTTTTTTTTCTCTTTTCTTTATATGAGTCAATATATCTGAAAGTCAGCTCTAGCCTCCAGCCCAGTACATCTCAAAGACAACGCATTTTCCCTAGTCCTCCAGCTGTTCTAAGTTATGCGAGCCATTTACCATCCCATGATTTTTAGCAGCTGCCAGGGTGCCTTTCCTGAGATGACCCCTGGTTCTGAGGGTCGGAGCTGTCCCCCAAAGCAGCTCCGTTCGCTTTGAACTGATGATCAGTGTGAAATAGCACCATGACGGATGATTGCTATACTTCTTGTTACTCTGGATTTTATTGTGTTTAATTAACAGAAATATTGTGAAGTCTCTTTAAACTTTTTATGCAGAAACCCTATTGAGCATTTCAATTTACTTACATCTAAAAACAAAGCTGCGGTACTAAAAAATAATCTGTGAAATGGTTCGTTTCTTGTTGCCACGAAGGAGTGAAAATGAGGTACCAAATGCAATCAGTGTCACAGGAAGCAGCACGAAATGGAAACATGGATAGTAGGGGCTTCCTTAGGCAAAAAATGCAGTTTTCTGGCAACTTGGCTGGAATTTGCAAGGCAACTGGCTAATTCTTTCATAAGCTTTCGTTTGCTGATGTACCAAATTTGCACCAATTAACCAGAGCGGAGGAGAAGGTTTGAGAAACAGTACAGAATCAAAAGTCAAATAGGACATTACCTGGAGTTGTTGCCTTGTCACGCTGGAGGTGTAACACTTTGAATTAGCTTATTTTGTATACCAGTGTCTGCTTTTGGTATTACAAATAATAAACCCAACAGTTTATAACAACAGGGTACCATAACCTGGGTATCCAGGACATTTTTACGATGTGTTTTGGTTTAGCTGAATTATGGAAGGTGCTATTAAAATCACTACCTCTCTGTTCTGTTCTTGGGGCACTGTAACGCAAGCGTCTGCCTGCACAGATGGTTCAGGTGCCTCTCTCTCAGGGTTTCCCCCACACAGAAGTGTTTAAAAGCCGCTTTTAGAAAGCGTGCCTCTGTTGGTGTAGTGTTCATGTACACAACAAGGGCACGTTTCAGAGATAGCGCAGTCTGCCAGGGTACGGAGCGGCAGTTCAGTCTGTACATGTACCCCTGAATTCTGATTTTGCAAGAGAAAATTAACACCTCTCTTTCTTTCGTCCTTGTCACTTCAGATGGCCCTATGGAAGCTGACCAAATATCCATGCATCTTTGAGATGCAAGACAAGATCGTCGTTCTTTATACAGAATGCAAAACTCTGTCCAGCCTCTTTAGTGATGTAAGTGTGGCCAAATTTTTTTTCAATTTAGAGTGAGATAAACACACTGCTAACAGGCTGTTACTTCAATCTTCAGATACAAGTGATGCCGATGGTCCAGGATCATTGGGTTTTTCCAGTCAGAAGACAGTGCCTTCTGCAAGACATATGGAGCCATTTAAATGATGCATCAACCCAGCAGTTCAAGAAGGTCTTAAAGGTAAGATACCAAATTGTGTTATTTGTTAGCTCTGAGTATATTGCTGCAGTGTTCTTTGGCTTTCAGTGTTACTGAAGTGTTGGTAGAAGGGTTTCAGTATCCACTGAGCATACAACAAAACTACCACTCATCAAATTAATATAAAACATGTTCCACAGGGGATGTAGAGTAAATCTGGAGGGCAGTGTCTTACATTCTTATTCCAGGTAGCCATCAAGCTTTGTTGGCGTAAGTTAAATGTAAGTGGCAGTGCTATTTACTGTGAAAGTGCTTTGGGGTAATGTAATAGGATTGCTCGGGAAACTGGTAATTGGCAAAGTCCGTTACTATTACTGCTACGCTGACTTTAAAGGCTCTAGGCTAGTTTGCTGTAGATGAGAAATGTGGTGGCTGGGGAGCCAGCCTTAGAGGCCAGCAAGGGACACAGCCACCAAAGCCATTTCTCTCACGGAGGTGCTATCTGAAGGGAGAGGAAGGATAGTGCCAGCAAGAGAGATGATAAAGCTGATTAAAATGCTGCTCTCTCCATGTGGCTTTAGTCTGTAGTTTCCACACAAACCCAAAGGTTCTGGTAGCTGTATTTTCTTCCAGTATCGCAGTGCTAGCCCTGCCCTGCAAAACCCCTTAGATGGCTGACGTGGGAACAGAGTGGGGCTCCGCTCGGGGACCACGGGCCGTATCCGTCACCGACACAAGGGCAGTCGGAGCCTGGCACCACGCCTGGGCAGCACGAACCATCGTCCTCAGTGCCCTGTTAACCCAGTCCTGGTTCTTTCCAAGAACTTTCCTTCTTGTCAACCAGAGCTGTCAAATCTTGTCCTTCCTCTACACTTGGCAGAAGATTCACAATGGCTCCTAGAGCTACCTTTTCTTCCCCCTTCCTCACTACATCAGCTGAAAGAGGCATTTATTTACGGAGGCAATAAGGCTTGTGCTCTGTACTGTCCTCTGGAGCTAGAGTCTCTCTCCACTGATCGTACAAGGAGCCCTGACAAACAGCTGCACTTAGCTGGAGTCAGCCTTCAAACACAGCCTCTCCTACTGGGCACCACAGCGTTATTTGCCCAGCAGCGGCTTGATCGATTGGACTGCATTAGTAGTGTCCCACCAAGAGACACTGAGGTCTGCAGTATTTACAGCTTGGTGCTGCATTTCTGAATTTTTCAGCAGGTAAAGGACGTTAATGTGTTCGTGTTGCAGATAGAAGCCACCCAGTGCAAAACATTAAAAAAAAACCCACCTTTGAAATAAGATCATTGTAGCATTAACCTGTCCCCTTCATAGCTGTGTCCTGTGAAGACATTTTGTCAGACAGTACCGAGAACTTTGCATGTGACACCCTCATAGCAGTCTGTCACTCCATTTTCTAGTGTTTCTGTAAATGAAAACAGGGAAGGTTGAAGCATTTAGCAGAGTTATCTTCTGTTCCCTCTCTACTGCAGAGGAGACAGCGCTAAGGGCAAAGATACTCTACATACTTAAACAGCACTTGTAGCTGCTGACTTGCCTACCAAATCCTAGGCTCAGTTGGGAGTTACTTTTCCTCTAACCTGTCAGGAGATGCCTCTTTAGCAAAGATGACCCCTGGCTATCAAACTTGGGCACTAGGACACTTTAACAAACAGTACAGGGACATACACATCCTAAGCAGACACTTGACTGTGCTGGAGGCCACTCTAACAAACCCCCCAAATGCACAAGTACATCTTTTCTGCAGCACTGTTATTTCTGCATCTTTATCTTAAAAGAGAGGGAGGGAAAAAAAAAAAAAAAAGGCAAGCAAGCAGCCACTGGACATACAGACATGGGTATCATCCACGTAAATTTCTTCGTTTATTTCAAGTTTTGTTATTAAACGTCAGCCTAATTTATGTTCTTCTCACAGTAAAACAAATACACTTCAATACACACATCAGTTCAAAACAAAACCAAAGCTCGTAATTCAGAGAGATTCACATTGCTGCACATTGTCACTGCTTATTATTTAAGATCAGTTATTTCAGTTAGGATACAGCTTTTTCTCATAAAAATGATTACTACCTAGAAGATATTCATTAGTGCCACTACAGATGCACAGCATTCTTGAAGGGACACAGTAGGGCTTCTTGTTATTCCTCCTCTTTATCTGCGTTGGCAGTAATTAGGTAATAGACTGCTGCAGAGGCCTTCATACAGTTCCAGATACTGCTAGGAAAATTACAACGGTCACTAGTGCCAGAAGGGAACTTTCTCAAATCAACTGCAATACCCGATGAGATTAATAGACTGCCTTGCTTTAAAGGCATGGGGTTAGCAAATGCATTGCACTAGTTGTGCCTAAAAAGCTTAATCCCCATCCAAGTCCACAGGTGGAAGAATACATAAACCGGTATTGTAACGGGAAGGAGGAGACTGTAGAAACATAAGCTGTTTGTGCTGGTGCAGCCCTGTGGGAAGGTTTCATCTACGCTGGCTGAGTAAAACAAGCCTGCTAGGGACAGGAGGGGAACAAGTACAGTCAGCGTGGGCAGGGAGGGGAGCACGCCTCCTCCGGCCATCGGTCCCAGTTCACTGCTGTGGCTGGTGGGCCCTCAGGGCTGCTCCGAGCCCTCAGCTGGGGGCTTCTTCTGAGTCGTCCTGGCAGCCTCTGGGATCATGTTCGGGATGCCATCGATGATGGGGTATGCGATGCCCAGCTCCTCGTTAATGAGCTCGTTCGTAGCTTCTTCGTACCTGGCCAGGCAAGTCGGGGGAAAAAGAAAACAAAAGGAGAAGTGAATAACCTGAGTTTGCCCTTTGGCAGCCCCTCGCGCTCGACTCGGGGCAGCGGTAGGCCAAGGGCCCGGTGCGGCCCCGGCCCTCACCTCACCTCAGCGGCCGCTTGGAGAGCGGGCACACCAGGAAGGGCAGCAGCGACGGGTCCGGCGGCTG